CGTCGATGCTACCTTATTGACGAGTAAGTGTGGGCGGGCGCTAGGTACTGTCATTGCTACCACACATTTGAGTACGTCATGAGCGGGTTTTAGTCGCTATTAGTACTGCCATGTCGTCTTTGTTCAGTACCTTGATTTGATATGTAGTTATTTTGGAGTTATTTTGGTGGTTGTTTTTGGTTCCTTATGATGGTTCGTCAGGAGGGACGTTTACGGTTGTTGTCTTCCGTTCCTTTGTCTGACCTTGGGTTTTGTGTGTGAGTTTGGGCTTATTGTATGGCCATGTGGTCACTTTTCTTTTAAGAGGTTTTCCTGTCGTAAGCACGTGGGTGCGAATGACATTGGTTTGTACGTTGTCGTCCAGTTTTGGAATTGCTTTCGTAGCATGTTGTGTGGGATACTCGAAGATGTACTTCGTAGTTATCCTGGTTTCGCCTTTTGTTTCATTGGGGTTGGATTTCGGGGAGGAAATCCCTTTAAGGTGGGAAGGTTGTAATGACCTGGTCATTTTCATTCCTTTTCTTTTTGCTCAAATTTTACGGATAAATTTTTTCCGTTGTCTTTTCTCCTTTGTGTTTGGTTTTCCGTCACTTAGTGTCATATCAAGTGTTCGAAAATGGTTTCTGATACTCTTTTCTTGGGATTGACAACTTCCTTTAAGGACCGAGTCATTTCCACATTTTTCATTTTTCGTCACTATTCACTTTTTGTCTTTTCCCGATTTCTTTTTTCGTTGCATAATTATATAACCTCACTTTTTGCCCTCGGATTTGACTCCGGCTTTGCATGCACCATGCACCCATGATATTTAATTTCTATGATATCTACATTTTTATTTTTGTATAAAAGCATGCTAAATGTTTACTTTTCTTGTAAAGGGCATGAATGCATAACTTTTGATAATTTTCTTAACTTTTGGGGTTTTATTGTAATTATGTAAAGTAATTATTTTTCGTCTTAGGGACCATTTTGTAATTTAATTTGGAAGATATTTTCAAAAAGGACCTTTTTGCAATTATTGGAAAAAGTGTGACAAGTGTCACATTCTCAGTGGTCCACTTGTTGACATTTGTGTGAAGACACTTTGATGCCTTGGATGATGACACATGGAGGGTAGAGATTCACCCACTTGTTGGCCTAGGATTGGAGCGCTTGTTGGTTTGGATGGTTGACAAGTGTAAGCTTAGGATTAAGCCTATGAGGGAGCCATGGATTAGTGACAAGTGTATGCTTCAAATTAAGTATTACAATTATTTTTGGCACTTTGGGATTATGGTTTTAAAGAAGGGTTTTTGTGCAATTGACCAAGACTTGTGTGTGTTGACTATAGTGTAGGATCACAATGTGAGTGGAGGATTTCTATTTCCTCCACTCACAATTTATCATATTGTATCATCATTTTCCTCACCACAAAACCTAGCCACCATTAGAGAAGCTTGATGCTTAGGCTTTTAAGGTGATTTTTGAGGCCCTTCTACTCACCTTAGACCATAAAGTTTGGAATACTTTTTGTTTCCATCATCCTCCTCTACATAACCTTTGAAGGGTTTGCCATTTTGTGTTGATTTGCCTTGGATTCTAGAGAGACACTTCTCTAGTGAGGTAGGGAATGATTTATTATATATTTTTTTGATCTGTATACCATGTTTTATATGAAATTTAGGATTTAATTTAATTATTTATTAGTTAAAAATTAATTCACATGGTTGTATATGATGAAGAATTAATTAAGGACTTGATATTTGATTAGGCCTTGTCTTAATCTATGTTATATATTAATTTGAGAAATTTTAGAGTAGTTTTGAAATCTTGAGATTTATTTAAATTTTATGTAATTAAATTCTATTTAATTACGCCATTGATGTAATTAAGTTTTGACTTGATATTAGTGATTATCATGATTTAATCTTTGTTATATATTAAATTGGAAGGATTTGAAGATGTTTTGAAATCTAAAAATTTGATTATTTTTATTTAATTAAATTCTATTCAACTATTCCAATGATGTAATTAAACTTTTGAGTTGATATTTGTGATTATCTTGACATGTTGTTTAACATATATTAAGTTTGGAATATTTGGATAAATGTTGAAATCTAGAGAATTTAATTATTTGTATTTAATTAAATTATGTTTTTCTACTAATGGCTTAAATTAAAGTATTAATATGATATATGTAATGACCACGATATGATCTTTGATATGTATTAATTTGAAGCCATTTGGGATTGATTTGGAATCTAGAGAATTTAATTATTTTTATTTAATTAAATTCTATTTAATTGCTTCATGGATTTAATTGTGTTTTGCAAGTTGTTTCTATGTTTAAATCATGGACTCGGACTTCTTGTATATTCACTTGGTTACATTTTGAGCATTGGATAATATAGTTGTTATATTTATATTCATGAGAATATGTTTTCCTTATTGAATATATCATTGTCTTGTGTAATAAGTTGCACATTTTGTATTTGACATCTTTCATGCCATAGTAGTTGTGGACTTAGAGAATGTATTGTATGTATTTCCAAATTTGGTTGTGCGTGGTAGATAGTTGATTATCTTGTATATATATGCTGATATATACGTTGTTGCACAACTTGTTGATTTTGGAAACTTGGGGATGTCGTTGTTTGACTACGGCTAGGACATGGTTCTAGTACGGGGGAATGTCCCTCTATAGTCTAGTGCGCACATAGGGCGGTTACCCGTGGGATAGTAACCCTAAAGTAACTTTGGTGTCGGTCTGATCCGGTGTGATGTTTAAGTATCCACCTTGTTTGATTTCGCATTTCATTTCAAGTTGATAACTATATGATGTTGTAACTTGTTGTTCCTTATTTGATTTCCCATTTTAAGTTACAAGATGTTAACTTGAGAATTTGTGCTTGATGCGTTGTGTTGGAAGTTCCTATGTTGTTACTTGCATAGATATGTGAATTATGCTAGAAAGGATCTAAGGTAGCTTAGGATGCTCCCTGAGTCTCATCTTTGACATAGACGTTAGGTGGCATGACCTTTTTGAATTGTTTCAAGTTAATGTAAAAATCTTTAAAGAAATCGAGTCTATGCATGCTCATTCTCTACGAGTAAACTTATTTACTCACCCCGAAGTTACTGGGGGATTTGTTCAGGTATGAAGACTTGGTTCGTGATGTTCATCATTGCTTGGATGATTGTAGACTTGAAGGTTTTAATACTTGTAAAGGTTGGCTTGAAATGCCATTTGTAGCCTTATTTGTCAAAATGTGTGTTTTTTATTCCATTTATGTAATGTGTACATAAGTGCACTCTATGCAATGTATTTAACTTTTATGTAATGAGGCCAAGGGCCAAAGACACTTATGTGATATGTATGCAAATTTTTAACTTCATTGTTGCTTATGGAAGTTAGGAAATTTCATGCATTGAAGGGTCATATTTTACATACAACATGCCATGAGGCCGTAGGCCATTGTAGTACGTCTACTTTATCATATTACGTATGCTTGCATGTTCACTTCGGCACAAAATACCCTTCTTGATGAAACAAAAACTTAAGGTTGCATTTTTTTTTGAGTTTTTACCCTATTCTGTTCAAGGGGCATTTCGGTTATTGCACATTGTGTTTTTTTTTTTTAATTTCGCCTGTGCTGTCGGGTAGAAAACTCGATTTCGGAGGGGGTTTCTTCTTTGTGTTTTTCCAGAAAAGTCATCTTGGCCCTCAAAAACCTATTTTTTTTTTCTTCTGAAAAATCCTTGCTGCCAGGTTTTTGCTGATTTTTAATACAAGTGTACTTGGTACTATTCATCGATTTTTTTTTAAAAGTGTGATGACCAATCCGAAACTTCCGGGGGTCTTGTGGGTGTATTTTAAGATTGTATTTTTAATTTAGGCAATTTAAAAACCTCCGAAACCCATTTCCTTTCCTTGGGCAGCAGCTCGGAAGGATTTTTGCCCTCTTGACCTGATTTTCTTAGGGGCATTCTGGGCGTTTTACAATGCATTTTTTTTTTGTTTTTGTCTAGACTTCTGGGTAGAAAACTTGATTTTAGGGAGGGTTTTTTCTTTGAGTTTTTCCAAAAAAGTCCATTTAGATGCCCGTTTTTACTCTCAATTGCAGCAACAGTGGGTCGGCAGCGTTGTAGCTGTCATGACCCTCTTTTTGTTTTTGACCTTTCTCTATCGTCCGGACTCCAAATCGAGTAAAATTTTTTTTGAACTTGACTATTTTTTTGCTGTCTTTCCAACGGTGTACTCGGTTGTATCCGGATCTTCCTATATAATTATCAGTTTACCCTTTTTGCTTTATATGTCCATTTTTCTTTGTTTTGTCGTTTCTTCTTCGTCCGGAATCCGAATCATGCGATTCTTGAGTCCATTTTCATTAGTTTTTCATTATCTTTCCAGTGGTGTGCTCGGTGGCACCCAAATCAATAGTTTTTAAAATGACTATTTTGCCCCTAGGGGCCTTAATTGTTATTTTTTTGTAATCTTTGACTGCCGCGTCAGTTCCCATTGAGTTCCATGACCTCATGGAAGGTCACTTTGATTTCTTAGAGTCTTATTTTTTGGTTTTTCGCTTCCGCATTCGGATTCGTTATCGGGTTAATGTTCGATTCATCACAAGTATCACTGGCTTGAAAAATCAGGACCGTCACAATTTTCATATTGAAATTAGGATTGGAAATGGTCACTACTCAGTAGTGTTATTTTAGTATAAATTTTAAACTAATTTTTTATTCATAATTTTACTTTCATTTTAAAATTTCAGAACATAATTTATACGCATTTATGCAATCCATTAGGTTAGACTGCAAACACCGTTTGTCTCACATAAATCGTTTTTCAAAAAAACACATTTTCGGCGTTTGGTTGTATTTTACGAATGGTAAAATATTTTTCAGGTAAATCAATTTCCTTAAAAAAAAAAAAAATTCCGAACCCAAGTCATTTTTCAAGTCCGTCCCTACTCCCTAGCGTGCTGGTGATGGTTTTATATTAAAGTGAGCACTGGGGGCGCACCATAGCTTTCCCGCCTAAAAGTAAAAAGTTGAAGGAAGAAGAGAGATCATAAATGAGCGCAGAGGGTCTGCCGACGAAGGAGGCTAACGTGCTCAAGGGGCACGAGGGCGCAGTTTTGGCCGCAAGGTTCAATTCAGATGGCAATTATTGCCTGAGCTGCGGCAAAGATCGGACCATACGCCTCTGGAATCCCCACCGTGGAATCCACATCAAGACCTACAAATCTCACGGTCGCGAAGTCCGAGACGTTCATGTTAGCCCGTAACTACACATTCCTCACTCTCTCTCTCTCTCTCTCTCTCTCTCTAAATACTACTTCATATTTACATTCATGTTCTATTATTAGTATAGTACTACGAGTATTATTTTGCTGGCTATTCTTGATTTAGGGTTCCAATTTATCCTTTCTTTTTTGAGTTTTTGAATTAGTCTTCACTTAGATCATATTTTGGTTTAATGCATGAATCAAACCCTAAACCCTAAATTTAATTGTGTTTGTATAATTATATGCTTCATTTGATCACAAGATTTTGATGGTTCATGTACATCATCAATCCCATGCCTTTATTATTATTATTATTGAATTTAACAAGCATATAAATTGTGCGTTTATGTCTGTGTTTGTCTGCTTCTTTGAACACAGAAATTCATTTATAGCATGGGCTTGGCATATGGTTGTAAGATAAACTATGAAATTGGATAGTTAATACACTATGATGAAGATTTCTTCCTTATATTCTACGGGATATATATCCATATACTAATGCACCCATAATCCCATATATAATGTACATACACATTATATGTATATGCAAACATAATGAATGAAATATAAACAAACGGTAATGAAAATTGAAGTGAAATAAATCAAGATTAAATTTGAGAAGAAAGTAGCAAAAGGAATTACAAAACTTGTCAATCATAGATATGACTTCCACTCTTTATTTTTATTTTTGTTTTTAAATGTTTGATGGTCTCCGTCCATTTCTGGAGTTTCTATTGAAAGGATTTTGAAAGGGTAATCATAGGCATGTCATGGAAGTGCCAGTTGTGTATGCTTTCAGAATAGTAGAACAATTTATTTGAACATTTTCTTTTCTATTGCAGCATAACAATATGGCGTTTGATTTCATGTAAATTACTGAATAGTGGCATAAAAACCATGTAGAAGATAGTCATTGATTTACAGATACCAAATTTTCTTGTAAAGTATTTTTTTATTTTAGCCAACTTACCCATCATGCAGGAGCAATGAACATTGTATGCATATGATCCGCAACGCAACCAACTGAAACTGTATTTATTATGGATCCATTTTCTACCATTTCTCTGTTTGTCTCATTGGAATTCTAGTGTTTGAGTAGCAATCCCCAGAACAAAGCCTCGCTTTGTGAATGAGTACCTGTTTAAAACTACTTACATAAAATTTTGTTAGTGTGTGTCTTTATTTTGCAGCAGAAGCTGTTAGTGTGTGTGTGTGTATTTGATAGGCAACTCTATACGAATATTATATTGATTATTTTTAAGATCTCTTATTTATTTATTTCTTTACTTTTAGAGAGGCCAATGATGAACAAGAAGTCTCATAGCCTTAAGTTACACTGATTTTTTTTCTCTATCAACATTATCCTGAATTTAAGTGTAAAAAGCTCATAAATAGGCAGTTCTAGACCATTTGTTCTCTTATATGATAAACATCTATTGCAGAATTATTCTATTTAAAATAGAAGCAGTTTTCATTATAATTTTGCATTCGCAAATATTTTTTTTCTATGACTTTGACTTGCATAAGACAAATTTAATTTTATTGCAAACAGGATGAATTTTGTCAAGAAAATTCTTATAGAAGGCATAAAGATATTAAACTGAGCGTCTGAGCAACTAACTCATACAGGAAAATTTGATCAAGCTACGTAAAGAGTTCAAAGCATGAGGGTGTGTGCTTCATCTGTTTCTATATTTTGGGAGGGGCCTCTATGGGATTTAACCTCAAAGTTATGAGGCAACAATTTTTATTTTTTATTTTTGCATTATCCCTGTACACCTTTTGAAACTTACTATATTTATTGTTTTCCAACTTTCAAGTGGAAATGAAGCTTAATTGTCATTTTGTTCTTGTTTGAGGAGTCTTTCCTAGATTTTGGTATTCAATCTCTCCTGTCCCAGTTCTCTTTATCATACCAGTGTATTTGACTTCTGTCAATCCTTGAATTATGTATCGTATCTATTTTCTATATATATATATATATATATATATATATATATATGCAAATATAAGCTATCAATTTGTCTCTTTACTTTTTAGGTGAGGCTGTGTGCATATATCAGAAGTTCCAATACATTCTATGTTTCTAGTTCGGTACTTGATAATATGTTATTGTATTGTAGGGATAACTCCAAACTATGTTCTTGCGGTGGTGATCGACAACTCTTTTATTGGGACGTAGCAACTGGTCGTGTAATTCGAAAATTTCGTGGTCATGATAGCGAGGTTTGTTAAAAGATCCTTCTCTTGCACAATTGGCTAACTCATTAAATGGTTTTAAAATAGAATCAAGAAAAACCCATTCATGTAGCTGCAATGAGAACGTTAAGATGGATTTAAATGGTGACTAGAAGAGATAGGGTTACTAATAAAAATGTGGGAGAAATTAAGAAGGTAAGAGACAGAGAGGCTGACCCATATTGGATTAAGTCACGGACGATGATGACAATGGTAGTATCTATTTTTTATTATTGCACGTATGTAAGTGGCATTGTCAGCAACATCATTACCAGTACTACTTTTTTGGTTTTGGTTTTACAATCCTCTTTCACCGCTTGTTAACATCCTAACCGGCTACCACATAGTTTGGAGGAACAAATCAGTGCCCGTCTGAAGATCTTTTCAGATACCTGCAAGCTATGAAATGCCTTGTTTTTTTGGCACTACAAAGGCAGCAAAATTTTGTTGGAAATTATTTAGTGATCTTAAATTTCTTAAAAAACAAAAAATTGGAATGCCATTTGGTGAATTTAGAATAGGAAAGAATATCAAGGCTGAGGAACAGAAATAATTATCACCCTGCTTTACAGAAATTGAACTCATTTTCTATAATCTATCATTACAACTCTTAAAAGATAATTAATATAGTAGCTGCATTACAGTTATCCTCTACTCTTCCTAATATTTTCCTGTATTTTCTTTTCTTTTCAGGTGAATGCTGTGAAGTTTAATGAGTATGCATCTGTTGTAGTATCAGCAGGGTATGATCGTTCATTGCGTGCTTGGGACTGCAGATCTCACAGCACTGAGCCTATTCAGGTTGTCTCCCTCCCTACCCCTCTCTCTCACAACTTTTTGGGGGACCTTTGGTTTCTTAAACTGACTTATAAAAGGTTTTGGTTAATGTGCAGGTCATAGACACCTTTTCTGACAGTGTAATGTCTGTTTGTTTAACAAAAAATGAAATTATTGCTGGAAGTGTTGATGGAACTGTTCGAACATTTGACATTCGAATTGGTAGGTATGTAGCATTGTAGCAACAAATTCAGGAGGGCCAAATTTTTTTTAGTGAAACACTATGATGGTTGGTATATATATATGTTTTGTTTATTGTTTTACTTTAGTACTTTACTCTTATGAAATACTTTCTCTAACATTGTCTTTGCTTTTAATTAGAGAAATATCTGATGACTTGGGGCAACCTGTCAATTGTATCTCTCTTTCAAATGATGGTAATTGCATATTAGCCAGTTGCCTGGATTCTACTCTACGTCTTCTAGATAGGTAATATCTATTTTCTTGTGTTCTTATGCCACATAATTTTCCGACTTTCTTAACCCCTTAATCGGTTCTTCCTCTTGACAGGACTTCTGGTGAACTATTGCAAGAATATAAAGGCCATGCATGCAAGGTTAGCACAGAGCCTAGTTCTGCAAATTTTTTATGCCACCTTTTGATTTTTTATGGTAGTCAATGTAGTGGTTTGTTTATGTGCGACAGTTTTTGACTATTGGTTGTGGGTTTGTAGTGGGCTCTTGAGGAGTTGTTATTACACATGGGGTAATGGTTTATTTACCTTTTGATTATTTATGGTAGTCAATGTGGTGGTTGTTTGTTTGTTTGTGGGACGGTTTCAACTGTTGGTTGCGGGTGTGAAGTGGGCTCTTATGGAGATGCTATTACACATAGGATAATGGTTTTTAAGTAGATCAGAATAGGGGTAAAGTAGAGGCAACCTAAAAGAAAAAGAGAGAGAGGTGTTTAAGAATACTACCGAGAAATCTCAAGCCTACTTCATTTTTTATGCAAATCATTAATGGTGCTTTGGGAAAGTATCTTAAAAAAAAAAGTCAAGAGTCATTCTTGTTTTGGGTACTAAGTAATTAAGCTTTGGCATTACTAAGTATTTACTTAGGAAAGTGGTATAGTGTTGTTAATGCTGTGTTGGGATTCTAAAAGTCATTCTAGGAAAGTTCAAGTTTCATTAATAGTAATATTATAAAAGGGCAACCCTCTTTATCAGTTGTAACTAAGTCTTTATCAATATCATTTGAGTTATTTTCAGACTATAAACTTATGTTAAGGCTTTTGCCAGATTTCCCTTCAGAAATCAAGACTCCAACGGTGATTGGAGTAATCCTAGTATTTAGGTGCAAAAATTCGTTTGACCAAGAATGGTCAAAGGGAACAATCACAACACACTCAAGAATATAAGAAGATAGAATATTAACTATGGAATTTGCTTCCCTTTATTGTGAGGACTTTCCCTCTATTTATAATGAATTACATTGGTTGAATTGGGCTAGGACTTGCATTGTTTGTCCACTAAGTTCTTACTATACCGTATTGTTTCCTTAGAGAATTCTACATGGTTTACATAAATGTAATATATTTTTGTTAAAATTCCTTCTTTGAGTAGGATTCGGGCCATCAGAATGGGTTGGATCCAGTGGGTGAAGCTGGGCTCTCTCCCACGATGTGTCACCCAGGTCTGCTCTCTATTGGGCTTATGCTTTGGGCTTCATTCTCTTGGTCCAAGGCCTCTTTTATCATCTGGTCCACGTGGCGTGTTCAAAGGTAGCCCCCACGCGATGACATGTCACTTTTATTGGAAAAAGATTTTCCCTCCAGTCTTTCTTCCTATTGTAAGAAGACTTCTGTTTTTTCTGTTTGTTTTAAGTGGTATCAGAGCTTCTCGTAGGATCTGTGATTAATGTGGATCTATGGCTAGGCAAGGAAGCAATATAGCCACAAAAGAAAGACTTTCAAAATCTGCAAAATCAAATTTCTGTATTGAGCACTTTATTGGAACAATATGGAATCATTTCACCTCTTAGTTTTGACATTGGGAGGCAAAGGGCTCAACAAATGGATGCATAGGAATGCAAATATTGGACAGAACATACTACTGGAGAAAGAAATCAGCAGCATAAGATGTCTAGTCTAGAAGTCTAAAGCAGAGTGCTGCCAGATCACAAAACACATGGACATCAATGGTGAAACATACTGAAGGACCTGAATTTTGGTCCTACCCATGTGAGAATTCAAGATTCAAGTCTGCCAAGTGCCCAAGAGTTGCAAACAATCACATTATCGATGGAAAATAACTCTTGGTTGAGGAAGATTTGGGGAATTATGTTTATTTTTTTATTTTATAAGTAAATATGTATTAGAAAGCGTTGAAAAGGGAACGCATCCCGAAACTACAAATCCGGGGAATTATGTTGATCCCAATTCATCTTTTGATGAATCTTTTGGAGATGTAGATGAAGAATATCAGAACTTAGGGGTGCATTCAACTTCCATCTTCTAGAATTTGACAACAATAAAGAGGAATGTGAAGAAAAAACGAAGGCAGAAGAGGAGTCGTCTGAAGAAGCAGCCAACAACTTGTCAGAAGTTGAGGTAGCTGTCATTATTCAGTCTGCATACCGTGGATTTCAGCTGAGAAAGTTGGAACCATTGAAGAATTTGAAGCAAATATCTCAAGTTGATTCCCATGTTGTAGAAATTCCAGAGCTTATGTCGTCTACAAACAAATAGGTGGAACTTTTGAAGATAAGACCATTGGTTTTCCAATGGTAAGTGGTGCATTAGACAGCACATTAGAAGAAGTTTATTTGCATAAATTGGTTAGAAATGAGTCTTCTTTGTTCATGGAGTTGAAAAATCATGAATTCCATATTCGTGACTTGATTTGGGATGGATTCTTGGTGCGACGTACTGCTGGGAGTTGTTCCAATTCAAAAATCAGATTTATTTAGGTTTTGTTTCGTGATGTGTGTTCAAGCAAGCTTTGGAAATCTTCTAAATTTAAAGATAGAGCTTGGGATGAAAGGAAGTTCTTTGTTGGTGAAAAAAATTATTGTGTTTTGTTCGAGTAAGGAAAGGAAGAAAGGATGGAAGGCTTTATTCAGGTTCTCAACAGATTATGGTAAATTGCTTCAAACTCGAGGGTGAGTATTCTCCAAGGAGGAGGGTCTGATTCAAATCATTAATGGTGCTTTGGGAAAGTATTTTGAAAAAAAAGTCAAAGAGTCATTCTCGTTTTGGGTACTAAGTAATTAAGCTTCGGAATTACTAAGTATTTACTTAGGAAAGTGGTAAAGTTTTATTAGTGCTGTGTTGGGATTCTAAAAGTCATTCTAGGAAAGGTCAAGTTTCATTAATGGTAATATTATAAAAGGGACAGCCCTCTTTATCAGTTGTAACTAAGTCTTTATCAATATCATTTTAGTTATTTTCAGAGTATAAACTTCTCTCAAGGCTTTTCTATGATTTTCCATAGAAATCTAGGCTCCAACGGTGATTGGAGTAACCATAGTCTTTTTTACTATTATAAGACGACTTCTATTTTTTTTCTGTTGGCTTCAATTTTCTTGTTAGGTGACAAGTGACAACACAGGGTCATCCTTATTCATAGGCATGGTATTAGGAGGGTAAGTTGTCAAAGTTTGCACACTTGCTGGAGAAAATTAGCTGTTGGAATACATAATCAGCTGGAGGTGCTAGCAAGGAAGCCATCGTCCTTGAGCTCAACAAAGGAGAGCACATGTAGGCATTTGTGAGAATGCACTGGGCTTGATACATGGTGGACACATGTGGCACATGTCTCAGAGGACATTTGGCATCTCTCAGAGACTAGCCATAATACAGCCTGTGGTTTTTAATACATCTCAGAGAATTCTCGACTTGCCTCCAAATCACGTAATACCTTGAACCTGTTGAGACTGGCATCCGCCGGAGACTATACCTTAGTCACCAAGGACTGCACATAACCTGAAAGTCACCTTGCAGCTCTGGATTGAGCTCAAGGAACTCCATGCACCCTACTCCAGATCCAGGCAATGCATCATGGTCATGCATCCAGAGGCAGCTTTGGAGGGAGAAGAGGTTATGGAGCTGCATTGACAGCAACAACCTCAACAAGAGTCGTATTCACTAAATATAGGAGTAACTTGATGTCATCCCCTCCTAGGTTAAGTTCTTAGACTAAGTCACCACATGCATGACCTCTTCAAAGATCAACATGGCACGCTCCAAGGGGCAGCTATAATGGAGGTAGATCACGTCTTGCAAAGCCATTGAACTATGTGTCTAGCAGAGATCTGAGCGTTTTCTGCTGGAGGTCATTAAAGTGGATAAGAGGGCGCCATGCAGGATGGCTATGAGTGCCATGTGGAGGCATGGGGGTCCAATACCTATATTGGTTATTCTTATTGTAGAGCTAATTCTGTGGTCCAGAACCTGCATGCGCTAGCTTATGCACATTTTTAATTCCAATCCAGTCTATCTTGTGTTTCCCATTGTAACTTTTTTCCTGCCTTTGCTTTGCGTTCTAGTTCTATATCTAGCAATCAAATGTTTTATCCCCTAAATATTGTCTTTTTTTGTTCTTCTGTGTCAGTCTTACAAAATGGATTGCTGCCTAACAAACACCGATGCCCATATAACTGGTGGATCTGAAGATGGCTATATTTTTTTCTGGGATCTGGTAGATGCATCCGTAGTTTCCAGATTCCGTGCTCATACCTCAGTGGTAAGTTCTCTTTTGCTGATGCAGTATTTCTTCGGATGTTGATAAATGGTAAAGATTCATGCTCACACATAAATTTCTTGGTTCCAGGGTACTTTAAACTGTTTTCTAGGAAGAAAGAAATAAGCTTGTCGATATGATTTCTCTCTTTTTTTCTCGGTTCCAATATCTCTTTTTTTTGTCTCTAAAGCTATATTTATGTCCTCAATTGCACATGACTTTTCATACTGCCTTCATATCCTAAATTCCAAATTTTGTCACTTATAATTTGAAAATTCAACTAATATTTGATAATATTCCAAATTTTGCATAAAGTTTCAATGTTTTGATAGGAAAATTATTTAAAATCAATTGGCGCTGGTAGAGTTGCAGTTGCAACTTATCCCAAAATTCTTATAGATGTTGCATAACTAGTAACTTCCTGCAAATCTCAATATGCCAATTTGTTTGGTGATCATAGGTCTTGCGAATTTTGTTTGACTTCTAAAGTTGATGTTGTCACAGTATAATCTGTTTACTCTTAAATTCAGCATTGGGAGATAATGCATGATAAAGGAATTTGAAAGTAATGAAGTAGTTTGTGCATTCAAGTAAATTGAAGTTGTACTTTAGTTTTCATAGTGCACATTAGTACCATAAATACTTCAGGAAGTTTATATCTCTTTAATCTTTTAGTATATACGTGTATATACACAGACAGACATATACATGTATATATTTTAATTGGCAATCTGCTGGTATGGAAGATCTTGATCATTTCAAGTAAGAGGAATACTTGTATTCTCTTTTACCTGTCATATTTTCCTTTATATTGGAATTCAGAACCAATCTAGTCTTTTATGAATTTCACTATTAAATTATTCAAGAAAGATCGACATTTTCAGTTGAATGTACGATAACCGTCTTGATTAGCTAGAAAAGAGAAATATTAAGTATTACAATTCTATTATCTAAACTCTTGTGGAATCTATGTTCACTTTGACTAAGGCTTCAAGACTCACACCATTAAAATGCTCCTCAATAATGAATTAGGTGGGAAAATTTTTTGGTTTAGTTTACATCCATATATATGAAATTATGCTAGAATTCATTTTATTATAATGATTAAAATATAATTGATTTCTTTTACTTTCCGAATGATCTTAAAGAATATCATCTTGTGTGTTTAAAATTGAAGGAGTGTGAATGGTGTACATGCAGTTTTGAAATTTTCCCTAATTTCTATTACACTAACTTTGTAAGTAATCTGTGTTCATATGTTACAAAAAATTACATTCCAATTATCATTTCAACACGTGAACTACTAACATAAATTTTTCTGCAATTGGTGGAAACTGGAATTTTTTATAGGGAAAATTACACTGGCCTCCCATTTTGTTGGGCTAAATTACATGGACTTCCCTCTAATTTCAGAAATACCATTACCTTCCCGTCAGAAATGACTGTTAATGTCCATTAACTGAGTACCATACTGAAAGAATTAATTTTAAATTCAAAACACAGTTGATTAAACCAACACATATATATATGTGTGTGTGTGTTTGTGTCTATATATATACACATGTATGTATGGGAGAGGACTGAACTCTGAAGGTGCCAACGATGTGGTGGGGGAGAGAGTCTCTTTCCTTTTTCTTCAAACTATTCACAATTTGGGGTTAATCGCATTTTACACACATGAGGCTACCTTATTCTTTATTAAACTCTAAACACACCAATGGGCCATTAGCTCAATGGTATAACCTCCCTACTCTCAAAGAGGATGGGAGGGGTTCAAACCCCAGCATGGGCAATGTGTGTGTGAGTTAGGGGTGGCAATTAGTGTTCGCGGGTCATAATCGTATCGTGTCGACCTAAGTGTATTCTACTAAATAGCTCAACCTGAACACGACCCGTTTAATAATTGTGTCAAAAATCCTCGACACTAACCTGACCTGTTTATTAAACGGGTTACATGTGTAACCCATTTAATGACCTATTTAATAAAATGAAATATTATATTATTTAAATTATTAATAATACTCAATCAAACAACAAATACTAGAAAAATATATGTTTCAATCTAACCAAATTACTAAATAATCTCTAATTTACAAAAGAATAAATTATAAGATACAAGTTCAGGTAGTTATTTTGGAATTTAAATAGAAATTTGTTTATGATGTGTATAGTTAAACGGGTATAAACGGGTTGAATCCCTCAATTTAAACACCACATGATTAACTATACAGGTTAATCGTGTCGACCCGTTTACGACCTGGAGTCATATATGGTCAACCCAAACTTGTTTAACCCGTGTCGTGTTCGAGTCATTTTGGCAAGTCGTGTCAAATTTTGCCACCAGTACTTACCGGATAAAATAATAATAATAATAATAATAACACAAATATTCTTCCTGTGCTTTTATTGATATTATGTTTTTATTCAGTTTATCTCCTATGTTGAGACTTACTTCATTTTTGACATGGAATTAACAAAGATGCTGACTTATTCATTGTTCTAAAATGCAAAAATTAGTAATAAAAAGCAATTAAGGGGACCTCTCACATCTTTTCACTAGATGGCTGTCTGTGATCTAGAAGACCCATTTGTCTTCTGGGAGTTTTAAATGATGGAGCTGTGCTAAGGAGGTATATAGTGCATGTATATACACATGTATAGAGAGAGGCTGAGAGATTGGACTGTAGTGTTGTTGGAAAATATGGTGGAAGTGGTGGGTTTATGGTTTAAACAAATGGTGAATTAAGATAGAGATGGGAATTCCCCGTCTGTGTGGGAAAGTTTGACCGGAGTGTTATAGAAAGATGGAAAGTTTTAGAGAGTCTGTGCACTTTGGGAGAAGCAAACAGCGGTGGTTGAGAGTGGCAGGTATAGTGGCACTGTTGGGGGGAAGAAACACATCCATGTAAGAGAAAATTAGGATTCATGAAAGAGAGAGAGAGAGAGAGAGTTTTTGAGAGAAGGGCGTGTGTTTTAGAGAGAGAGTTGCTTATAAGAGAATTAGAAATTGGCGTGAGGGCAAATATGTACACATATATTATAAAGACGACTTTCTTGTTCAAATTTCAGTTTAATGACATCATTGTTCACCAGCTTTGACTGTTAATGAGACTGACTGGAGATTGATATGTGTTATAAATGTATTTACTAGAAGGGGTGTAATCAATAATATCCAAATTAGAGGGGAACAGGGTGTACTTTTTCCCAACTAGAGGGGGAAATAGTTTAATTTTTCCGAAGAATTAGTATTGTTGATTTGTTCGTTAATTGAGGGAATGACCATGATCCTTCGTGTTTCTTTTCCAAACACACACACACACACACGCACACACATCTTTATCTCAAAGAGTTACATTTTTTTTTTTCTCCCTTGACAGGTAACTAGCGTGAGTTATCACCCGAAGGACAGCTGCATGATAACTGGCTCTGTAGATGGCACCATTCGGGTTTGGAAAACTTGACAACAGAAACCAGAAGCTTTTTAAATTGCTTTGCTGCTTCTCTTTCCTTCTGTATTCGATGTCCATCGGATTCCTGTAGAAATATTTATATCAACACTGCTGAATTTTATATGGTCCCAATTTAAGGCCTCATTTACAGCTACACCCAAGGTTGCATAAAATTATAGTTGAAAGGATTCAAACTCTCTGAACCAGACACTAGATGTTTGGAAGACTAGTGTTGCTTATCCAATTGGGTATCACATTGTCCCGCAAGAAAGTTTCGAGCTCAAATTACTCATCACGATTCGACACAGTTTTATGATCTCAATCTTCACAAGATGTACCTTTATCATGTCCAAAAAGAATATACTGTAGTAGATATATAACTCACATTGAACCAACTATCCTCTTTTGGGATTTACCTCTTCTATCCTATAAATAAAATAAAATGGCCAATTAGCCACCATTAATAAATTATTCAACTTTAGAAGTGTATCTCTTCTAATTATCACCCAAAATACCATCAAGTGTATACTTTTGCTTATACGATTTACATAGCTCTTTTTATGCTTTGACAACTCTTTCATGCTTCCATAAGTATGTTTTTATCTATATGATTTAAAAGGAGAATCTGTTTATGGCTTGGCAACTCGTCTATGCCTCCAGAAGTATGTTTTTGTTCATACTATAGAATAACAATTCAACCATACATTCAAGGTATGTATTTTGTTCATACAAATATGAGGTAGTGTCTTATGCCTTATGCCCTCGGCAACTTGTCCACGCCTCCGAACAAACCATATATACACAATAAATAGTACAATATGCAACACATGCATAGTATAAGCATGAATAAAATATGTAGAACAACCTAGTATGATTTTTGCCCATTTTAAAGCATGTATGAGCATGATAAATATCATATAACAACCTAATAGTCGATTAACACATGCTTAACTCAAATACCACAATTTCAAACATGATTATTGTTAGTTTTTCTATCAAATCTCAAAACATGAGATTAATATAAATTTCATGCAATTAAATCATATAACATTGTTCCCAAAGTTTTAGAACATGTTTGGGACCTTTAAAAATCAATTCGGGGCCATTCAAAACACTTTTGGGGCAAATAAGGTCCATAGTGCTCGAGCACACCCCTACTGTGATCGAGCTCTATTCATGATAGCAACTTTCCGACGCCTGTAACTTTCATGTTTTGCCTCCGTTTCACGTAATAATTGTTCCAAATAATTCTAAAACATTCTATAACATAATTTTACTTCCACCCATGCATATTAAGCAAGCAGTAACAAGATTGAAATTGATTTACATCAGTCACACTCAACACATATATATATACATATAAACACATACATATAATAGATTCAATTTATGCTTTTAACCCTACGTTTAGGTGATTAGCATACAAATTTTAATCTAACATTCTGGTACCCAAGGTGTAGAACTTATGGGTCCTAAGAGGAGAGATAGAAAAGAACTCGCATGAAGTTTTCGGAACAAAAACTAACGCCGTAACTTTTCTAGTTGTCTTCCTCTCCAGTAACCTGCTTGTCACCGCTGACGTCGTCCACAGGTTCGGCCTTGTGAAGGGAAAATTCCCCACTAATCAAAATATGCCATATATCCATAGAAATAAAGAAAGCCCATCTGGAATAAATAATCTAGAAGCCCAATATGGTTTAGAGGCCCAACAAGAAAAGAACTCAAGAAGACCAATTCAGCCCATTCGGCAGAAGGCAGGCCGGGAAGTGGCCCATGCCAAACACATTCAAAATTCCATAACACCCACCATGAAAGAAATGCCGCGAAACAAGGGACCTTGACTGCCCACGTCAAAAAACTGCCAATAATGGCTCCATGCAAAGCTCTGTAAAGGTATATAAATAAAGTATGAATGAGAAGAGAAATCCATCGAATTCCAATCACATTTTTCTTTGTTGCTTGAGTTGTTCATATTGATCAATTTTTCTTGTTAATATAATTCTGTATTTTCTCTCAAGTGTTCGGGTGTAAAAATTTGCACCTACACTTTGGCGCCCTATGTGGGAAGTGTTTACAAAAGGCCTTTTCTCTATCACTTTCATGCAGCATCGCTCCACAATGGCAACAGGATCAGATGCCACACAAGTTCAATAGCAGGAAATCATTCATAAGATTCGTGAAGAGATGCAAACACAGTTTGCCATCCTTCGGCAAGTTAATGAAGCTAGTACCGAGCAGATCAATGCATTGAAACATGCTAACGAAGCTAACATAACACAAATCAACGCTCTGTGTCAGGAGAACGAAGGACTTCGGGTCACCGCTCGACAGAATGATCCACCGATCGCTTCACCAGAGCGCCAGAACGAGCCAACGGATCCACCCATAGCGCCTGGACTTAATAACCCACCTTCACAGTCGAGGGCTCCACGGCAGCAATTCAACGTCCAACATGACACTTTAGATTGAAACGATGGCAAAGAGATAGCAAGCCAATCTCGCATCTTGGCGGACTCCACGTTAGGAGAACCACGAGCCACAAAAGTCTTAGCCTCAGTGTAATGACCCTTGATTTTTCAACCCAGTGCGTCAGTGATGAACCAAAAGAATGACCTAATAATGGATCCGAAATGCGGAAGCAAAAGAAGCAAAATTGCCACTAGAGATGTACGTCATCCCTAAGGCACCAAAATGACTCCCCATGAAGCCATGGAACTCAAATAAGCCAAGCAAATGAAGCAAGAATGCTTAGACTAAAAAGAAACGAACCAAGGGCAAAATGGTCATTTCACACTGAAATGGGTGCCATTGTGCACACCATTGGAAGGACAATGAAAAATGAACAAATTTGAACTCAAGAATCGCTTGATTCTAAGTCCAGACGGAAAAGATATGAATTTAAAACAAAGTGGCCTTCGCCGTTTAAGAGTTACCATGAACCTATCTCACTAAAACTGGAATAACTCACACTATATGTGGAGTTTCGATGAGTGGTTAGTACCATTGGAAAGTTAACTTCAAGATCTTGAACTTAGACTCAATAATGACTAGATTTGGATTAGAAATGAAAGAGATATGATTCCCCAAAGTTGGAACAACGAAGCTGTCCAAGGAAAAGATGAAGAAGATGGTCCCAGGGAGGATCGGTCGACCGAAATACAACCATTAGCCGGCCAAAACTCAACTGTTGGTCGGCCGAACCCCAATCATCAGCCGGTCAAAACAAGGTTTTTCTTAAAAAGCCTAGTGGAATGGTCTCGAGGGCTTTGTCAACCGGTTGATGGGTCCTTATCAGCCGACCGACACATCTGCTGCAGCAGAAAAAACTGTTGCAATGTATGTGTGAGATGCTTGGTCCATCTCTAAGGCTCTGCATGCATCCTACATGATCTGAATAAGATTGAAAACATTTTCTAGCCCCGTTTAAGCATCCAAAACATGCTAAAACAAGGAGGAACTCAAATGACACTTCCATGCATAAATTTTTCATAAAAATTCATAAAATCGCCCAAAATTGGTCAAAAGTTGAAACTTGAGAGTTTTGTGAAATGTGGACATGTACGCAAATGTAAAAAGGCATTTAGGACGCGTTCCAATGGTCCGCGGTTTCAAAATAACCCAATGCAAAATATGACCTCTCAACGGCCAAAAATGCCTTAAAATGCTATAAATGGAACCAAAATGCAAAACCTAGAATGAAATGGTGTTTGGCCCTTGGCCACACCTCATACATGATCATAGGAACCTTATGAAAGAAAAAAAAAAGGAATTCTCACGCCCGATGCAAAAGTTATGAAGCAATGACTTAGCATTTTTCAATATTTTCATAGTATTTCATGAAGTTAAAACTACATAGGATACAAGATACATGTTATTGGCCTTCGGCCTCATTTCTTACATGTCATATACATTACAAGAGTGTACTTATGTACACATTAAATATATGGAGTCAAAGAATACATGTTTTGACATATAAGGCTACAAAATGACATTTCATGCTAGCATTTGCATGAAATGGAAATTTAAAAGTTACAAGTCATCCAGAGTATGATGACCATCATGAACCAAGTCTTTGTATCTGAACAAAAACCCCCAGTAACTTCGGGGTAAGTAAACAAGTTTACTCGTAGAGAATGAGCATGCATAGACTCGATTTCTTTATAGATTTTTATATTAACTTGAGACAATACAAAAGGGTCATGCCACCTAAGGTTTATATCAAGGTGAGACTCAGGGAGCATCCTAAGCTACCTTAGAGTGTAATCAACAAGAATCATGATACATATACATATATGAAACGAATCAAGGTTAGGATAATCCAAGGAACTTGATAAGAAGGATACTTGAATATAGATCAACATGAATTGCATTACCAATACAATTTAGCAAGGTTTGGAATAATCCATACAACACGACAAGAGAATACTAGAATATAAGGATCACATTATCAATGCAATTTACATGATTGGGACATACCAATTAACACGACATGAAGTATACTCGGATATAAGTTAACAACAATTACATTATCAATGCAATTAACATGATTGGAATATTCCAATTAACACGATAGGAGTAATACATGAAATCAAGAACAAAGCCTAATATCTATGCAATTAACAAGATTGGAGCATTTCACATAACACGACAAGTTTTAAATCTTCAAGGAATGGCAACTTGAAATTTAAAGAGTGAAAAAACCAATGTGGAAACTCGGATATCGCCCGGATTAAAACCGTACTCTTGGGATCACTTTAGGGCTACTAACCCATGGGTACCTTCCCCTAGTGCGCACTATAATGTAGGGAGCTCTTTATCTCGTACTAGAACCAAGTCCTAGCCATGTCAATTCTTGATTGATATCCTAAGTCCCAAAATCAACAAGTTGTGCAAGTTAAGATAGTATCAAAATACAAGAAATGCATTAACCACGTTTCATGCACAAGCAAGACTTTGGAACACACGTCATGCCTAAGTTCTCAACTATGATGGCATGTGAAATGTCAAGAAATCATAGTGTGCATCTATATAGACTATAACCAAGATATATAGCACAAGAAATCCATTGAAGTAAATGTACCACAAGTATAAGATACATGATTCAATTACTTACTAAACAATACATGTGTAATTAAACCATTCCAAGACAAATGTGCATGTTCATTAAGTACATTAATGAAACCTAGGTATAAGGGGTCACGATGCTTGATAAAAAGATAAAAGTCCATGAAATACAGTCCGATTCATAAGTTGACAAGAGTTCAATATCAAAGCATGATTAACTCGATGGAAGCATAAAAGGAAATTTAATCTACTAAAGGGATTAAATCATTAAAATTACAAGGTAAGTCCAATGTTCTACGAACAAGATATGTCAAGGACAAGTTCAATGTCAAGTTACAAGTTCACTTCATACGAGATACAACCATGTGAAATAGATTTCATACAACGGAAATAAATAATTGCAAGTCTCAAA